CGTGCTGACAGACAGCAACCCCCTGACCTATGTGATGACAACCGCTAAACTCGATGCAACAGGGCATCGGTGGTTGGCTGCCCTGGCCAACTACAACTTTGTCATCAAGTACAGGCCTGGTCGACATAACTCAGATGCAGATGGCCTTTCAAGACGGCCCCAGCCCAGTCCTCAAGAAGATTACGAGTCTGAGGAAACAGAAGAAAAGGTATTCAAACTGTATGATCGCCTAAACTACTCTGGCGATGACGGCATTTGTTCTTGAGATGCATTTCAAGCTGTTTGTGAGGCCCGTCACGTCAACATACCAGATGGACGTACATCTGAAAGTGCTGACGCGGAATCAGCCATGTTGGAAAGTATGACAGATTCTCACCAAGCAATACCTGTAGAGTTTCTAGAAAGGGAGACAGCGTTACCAGCGATGAGCAATGCTGATCAGCAGATCATGCAGGCTGAAGATGATGCTATAGGGGAGGTCCTCAAGTTTGTTCAGTGTGGGAAGAAACCAAGCAATGAGAGGCGAACTGCCCTACCCAGGGAGTCTCAACTCCTTCTCCGCCATTGGGATAAGCTTAAGCTCGTCAACGGAGTTCTACATCGGCAAAGTACTACGCCTGATGGTCGCAAAGTGTTCCAGCTGGTTGTACCCAAGGGTCAACGACTCATGGCACTCCGAGGTATTCATGATGATGTTGGCCACCTCGGTTATGAGAGGGCCCTCGATCTTGCCCGCTCTCGGTTTTTCTGGCCTAATATGGCGGCGGACATTGAGCTGAAGTGCCAGACGTGTGAACGGTGCGTGCGGAGGAAGCGGAAAGCCATAAAGGCTGCGCCACTAGTCTCTGTCCATACTACAGCACCGATGCAGCTTGTGTGCATTGATTTCTTGAGTTTGGAGCCTGATGATGCTAACACAAAAAACATACTGGTCATAACTGACCATTATACCCGCTATGCACATGCCTTCCCGACCAAGAACCAGACTTCTCGTACAGTTGCAAAAGTACTGTGGGAGAATTACTTTATGCACTATGGATTCCCCGAGCGTTTACATTCTGATCAGGGGTGCGATTTCGAGGCTAAAGTCATCCAAGACCTTTGCGCCGTCTCGGGGATAAAGAAATCCAGGACAACCCCTTACCATCCCCAGGGTAATGGACAGTGTGAACGTTTCAACCAGACGTTGCTCAGCATGCTCGGCACCCTGGAGGATGAGGAGAAACGGAAATGGCGACTCCATGTTGGCTCGCTAGTACATGCCTATAATTGCACAAAACATTCATCCACCGGTCTATCGCCCTACCTTTTGATGTTTGGTCGTGAGCCACGACTACCCGTTGACTTCCAGTTTGGATTGCTTCCCCAAGGTGGAAGTGCAAACCATAGCAAGTATGCTACAAACNAACTGTACAAGCCTTCTGACCCCACCTGTAGTCCACAGCCAAACAGTGGACTTCTATACACCGACCTTCTCGTCACGCCTGCAAACGTGGACGTGTGTGTATTTGACTATCCAACTGCGTAATTTTTTTTGAAAGACACATTTAATGAGATTCATCTTCAATGGTGGACATGTGTTTTAAGAAAAAAAGCCAGTAAAGGTCGACTTGTACCTTAACTACCAGTACAGTTAAAACGCCTGTTAAAATATCGAACAGTAGTCCACATCCAAACCGTGGACTTCAATACACCCACCTTCTCGTCACGCCTGCAAATGTGGACCATCTGTGTATTTGACTATGCAACTGCGAACAATTTTTGAAAGTCACCTTTAATGTGATTACCTTCAATGGCAGATGTGTTTCTTTTTTATCTCTACAATCAAGTATTTCATTATAAAAAGCCGAGACAGGTTGACCTGTAACAACTGTACTATTATAATGGCTATTACAGTAACGTAAAGTAGTCCACATTGAAGTTCGTTATCAACTCACATGGAAAGATGCAAATGTATTAGTTGACTTTGAAGGCTATTATAAATGACAATTTTTTTTTTTCAAAAATCCATGCATAGCGGACATTTGCAACCGAAGTCCACTATGGTATAGTTGAATACATAACCGCTCACAAAGGTTCACATTTGAATGCATTTTAGGGGTGCGTAATGTCTGATGTTTAAAGGGTCCACTTTTGCATATGGGAATGAAGGGCGTGTTTGTCAAGTTTTTGATGGAAGAGGTAAATTTATGGGTTATTTCATAGATGATTAAAATAGCAAAGAAAAATTTGTTATGTTACGTTTAGGAAGAAGGGGTCTACTTTGGTCGGTACATGTCATAATAAAAGTACATGTACTCCTCTGCATGAATAAAGACGTCCACAAGCTGGTTCACAGTCAAAAAGTTTGAGGATAAGCATTCGCCAAATTGTGAATTGAAGAAAGTCATAAAGCCCCTGTTTAAACAAGATAATTGCAGTCAAAAAACACCTAAAACAATGTAGTATCAAAACTATTGATTCTTTTATTTTTTTCATTTGTCATTTTCACCTAAAAACTAACCCATCCAAGTTTCCAAAAGTGAATAAATCTAACAGTATTTTACCTTTTTCGTGTGTTTATGCTATTGTCATACATGTACCGGTATGTCCACAAAATTCGATGGATCATCAGATGATAATTTATTTAACAGGCTATGGGAAAATATTTAGTAAAATCCAGAGTTACAGGTACCTCCATTAAGGAGAAGTGCTCTTGACTCCATGTCAAAATAGTGTGTGTAACCCTTTATACATGTGTACTTCTTAAAAGTAATGCGAGTTTGGCAAGTCCAGCAGCTATGAAATTAAAGCAATTATAATCTTGAAGGTCATATGTCAACTTCCAAAAACAACCATAGGTATACTATTTCAAACTACAACTTCAAAGGCGAATACCAATTTAAACATCAACTGAATGTACAACTTATCCACTTTTTAAATCCATCAAAATCTGAAAAGAAAATCTCTCTCCACGAAAGAGGACACTTTATGGTATCACTTTAACGTTTCCTTGGAAACCAAAGAAAAACTAAAAATACTTTCTCTCCAAAGTGAGGATACTGGTATTTCAGGTTAAATGGTGTTTCTCTGTTGGCAGTGCGAAGCTGGAATGCTTTTAGACAAGAGCAAAGAAGTCATCTGAAACGTTACTTTTCTCAAATCAATATCACAATAATGTTACAACCGTAGACCCCCTAACAAATTACAACCGTTCCCCATGCGTGTTCCTCAGCAAGGTGAAAAATTATTCCTTAAAAGCTCTCAAACTAAAGTACTTTACTACTGATGTTCCAGATGTGTTCCGTCACGCGACATTTCAAATTACTCAAATACAAGCCCTCGAACAGTTCCTGTGATCAAACTGTGATGTTCATTTCCTCACCTCTGTAACAGACAATAAATCTGTTCTGGTCTGCCTTTGAAGGCAAACATATTGAACTACTTCAGAATAAAGGTACATCAGTGGGAGGAATTAGTTATTTCCTTCAAACTAACTGATAGAACTAATTATTATGTGCAGAATCCGATGGAGCACACTAAGTGATTTTTATTGAATAGGCTATGGAAAATGCTTAGTAAAACGCAGAGTTCTACAGTAACCTCAATTAATAGGGAAAGCCATAGCGTCATATTCTATACATGTGCAGTGTTCTATGGGTACACATTTTAAGCAGATGTGGTCTCAACATCATGACTAGCTTAGGGTGTGCAACCTTTATATTTCTTAAAAGTAATCAAGAGTTTCCCAAGTACACAGCAGCTATGAAATTAAAGCAATTATAATCTTAAAAGTCATCTTTACACATTGAGAAATAACCATGTGTGTACTATTTCAAACTACAACTTCGAACTCGAAAACGAATTTAAAAATGAATTACACGTAATAACAATGATGGGACATTCACTTTCTAAATCCATCAAAACCTGCAAAAGGAAAAAACTGCAATAAGGGAGGTGTCAAGGAATGCGCCTGCCCTTGGAAACCAAAGAAACACTTAAAATTTTCCCCACAAAAGAGGATACTGGCGTTTCGGAGTTAATATGATTTCTCCAATGTTTACTTGGTGGTGCGAAGCTGAAATGCTTTTAGACAAAGCATGGAAGTCACCTAAAAACATTTTATTTTCTCATATCAACATCACAATAACATTACAATCATAGACCCCCCCCACAAATTACAACCGTTCCCCTGTGCACGTTCCTCAGCAAGGTGAAAAATTATTCCTTGGAACTCTCACGCAAAACTCCTTTACTACTGATGAACTTGAGTTTCATGTCAAATTCCTGATGTGACCTGCCAGGCAATACAATGTATAGTGCAACACATTTCTAATTACTCCAATACAAAACCCCGGAACAGCAATTCCTGCGATCAAAACCAACATTAACGTTCACTTTGTCACCTCAGTAAAGGGCAATAAATCTGTTCTGATCTGCCTTTGAAGGCAAAAATATTAAATTCAGAATGCATGTGTATCAAACTCCACCACCACCTCCTTAATAGATGTATAAAGGTAGTGAGAGGAATTATTTACTTGTCATTTTCTTAGAGCAAGTTGCAATGTACAGAATCCAGTGGAGCACACCAGGTGATGTTTTATTTAATAGGCTATGGAAAATGCTTAGTAGAACCCAGAGTTCTACGGTAACCTCAATTAATAGTGAAAGCCATAACATCATTCTGTCTACATGTGCAGTGTTCTATGAGTAAACACATTTTAACTGGAGAAGTGCTCTTGACTCCATGTCAAAATAGTGTGTGTAACCCTTTATACATGTGTACTTCTTAAAAGTAATGCAAGTTTGGCAAGTCCAGCAGCTATGAAATTAAAGCAATTATAATCTTGAATGTCATATGTCAACTTTCAAAAACAACCATAGGTATACTATTTCAAACTACAACTTCTAACTCGAATTCCAATTTAAACATCAACTGAACAATGATGGGACTTATCCACTTTTTAAATCCATCAAAATTTGCTAAAGGAAAAAGCTGTTATAAAGGAGATACGTAAGAATGTGCCCACCTCTGGAAAAGAAAATCTCTCTCCACAAAAGAGGACACACATCTCCAATGACGCTTCTTTGGAAACCAAAGAAAAACTAAAGAATTCAAGCATTTCAGGTTTAATGACATTTCTCCATTGGCAGTGCGAAGCTGGAATGCTTTAGACAAAGCAGGGAAGTCATCTAAACCAATTAATTTTCTCAAATCAATATCAAAACAATGTGCAATTACAACCGTTCCACGTACATGATACTCTGCAAGGTGAAAATTATTTCTTTGAACTCTCTCACTAAAGTACTTTATTACTGACGAACTTCAGTTCATGACAAAATCCAGATGTGGTCTGCCAGGGAATTCAGTGTTTACTTGTCGCACGGCATTTCGAATTACAATTTACTGTTATACAAGCCCTTCAGTTCTGAACAGCAATTCCTGTGATCAAAACTCAACTTTAATGTTCACTTTGTGACCTTGGTAACTGATAATAAATCTGTTATGGTCTGCCGTTGAAGCCAAAATATTGCACTAATTGAGTATAACTTAAACTCCAACACCTCCTGTAGATGTACAAATGTAGTGACAGGATTCATTTCTTAAACTACACATATAGTTGGGAGAAAAACTAGTTACAATGTATATTTTTCCACTGCAAGTTTTAATTCAAAAATCTACGAAAAAAAAATCCGCAAAACTTAACAGTGTCATTTTATCTGCAAAGAAAATGTAACTTAAAATCACTTCACGTCGGTTGGTAATTCTCAACGAACACCCCGCCGGTCACTTTGGTTATTTTCCAAGATTGGGTGTAATTCGTTATACACCGTACTTTCCTACAGTGTAAACTCTACGGGCAAAAATGCATTGAGGCATAACAATGCTCCATTGTTGGATTATGTAACTGCTCGGGAGCATTTCCCAGCCCCGCCTCAGTGGTGTATAGTACTGTTGGCTGCATAACATGCTCCTCGGTCGGCATTCAGCGAAAGCCTCTTGGTGATGGAAAGCTTGACCTATGGAATTGACACCCATCTGATACCAACTGGCTCAGATAGACTTAAACAATGCACTTTATATGACAAAACAGGAATTGCTGCCGCTAATAGTTTATGGAGTCTAATAGTGGTCAAGGCACGATACCCCAAACCGGGTACACCCGGCTGGCTGTCAAGATGTCAAGTCCCCAATTTCGAGGACACCCGGCACGAAGTGGTTAATTTGAACTCAAAACCCAAGAATCTTGGTACGTGTATCTTCAAAAACACATACGTACATGTATACACTAAGCCTGTTTAAAAATAATCCAAGGAAGTATCATTTACAGTAATTTTGGATACATTACAAAATGCCTCTTGTACTCTTTTAAGTCAGTTACATGGCAAATCACACTTACGCTGATGGTTGATTCTTTCAATTTGCATGACTGTACCATCTCTGCATCTTTATATTATCTTAAAACAAAATAGTGGCATTCCAAATGCAAAACCTGTCCACATACGGAAAAGGACTTACAAAAACGATATGAAATTGGTGTTCAATCCCACTTCAGTCAAAACAAAAAGGTCTTCTGCACCTTTTGTGACTTTCTACACATAACAGTATCAAATCAAGAGCATCCTCTTGACCAATCCCCTCTTGTAAAACCCATTTCACTATGCACAGCTTTATAGTTTACATTATCAATGGAGAGTATACTAGATTGTTTACGTCTCTGTTGATGATCAAGAACACATTTATTTTTTCAAAGTTTCATATAATTACCTACAATGGAAAGAGAAGCTGGACCAAAAAGGTAAAGAAAATTAAGGCTGAAAACATGGCCTGCTAAAAAGCCTTATACACTTATAATTTCTGCAGAAAACCCAGTGGGTCCTTTTTCTTGATTTGATTCCTCACAAAGTCCTTGATGTTTCGCCATGTACGATCCTTGAAGACATGTGGAGCTGCTCTCATTGCATTAGTGATCGGCCCCTTTCCTGGTACTTGTCGTGTTCTCAGAAACATCCCTAAGTGGTTATTGACAGCCACTTTCTCAGCAACACTCCACATCTTCTTTGTCTGGCATGTACTGCTGCCTTTCTTCATAGGTACATCTGTATCATATTAAGAAAACCATGATAAACTTTCAACAAACTTGGGTTAGGGAGTTTGTGTAGAGACAATTGATGCAAAATCATAAGGAACTCCATGTCAGCAGTCTAGAGGCAGATCTTGACAGGGTGGGGTGTGTTGCAACAACCGCAAGAAAAAGTCAAATGCTAAACAAATTATGGAAAGAATTCCACATACAAAGTTCACTTGTTTTCCTCTTCAGTGACTGATTAGCCTCCAAATCAAATACATGCCATAAAAGTCTATTTTAGCAGTGAAAAGATAGAAGTATTTTCAATGAAGACACTTACAATTTCTCAGACCAGTCTCATAGGGTTTGTGCACTGCGTATAAAGTGAACTTCGTATATGGAATTCTTTCCTAAATTATTTCTGGAAGATCAAATACAAGGTGTGCCGAACACACAGAAAACTGCACAGCTCGTATAAAAGATACTGTCAGTGGACTGTAGTATGCTACCAGACTACTCTCTAAGTGTCTTCAGTGAAAATATTTGTATTTTCTTTTTTTAATACTGCTAATATTGACATTGATGACATTTAATTGATCCCTGGATGGTGGATTTAGGAGGGAAGTTAGTAAATTTCTTTAGTGAAAATCTTTCCAAAAACAATAACTATGAAGTTTCCACAATTTTTCCATATCCTTCAACCCTCCTCTGCAAATTTTGGAATTTGTCAGAATGAAGCTTAATAGCAAAAATGAGTGGCACAAGTAATAAATACAGGGCACAAAAGGGCCAGTTGAATGAATTTAGAACAACATTTTTTGCAATGCTCAAGGAATTATTTTCTCAGTCTAAAGACAGTGGCAGCTAGTGAGTTTTAAATGCTTGGAGGACCAAACTCAGGAAACAGACAAACTGCAAGATCTCACATTTTTACGTTGCGACAAGCCATTCAAGTTAATTGTTCAATTTTTTTAATAAACCATCCATGATCAAATTTATTAATTAAATATTAAATACATATCATCCTATCTGCTCATGATCAGAAAGTTGCTTCTAAGTTGGGATTTTTATGGAAGTAAAATGACGCTGTATGTCTTTTGAAAAAATAAAGAACAAGGTCTGAGTTGACAACAAATCTATTTAATTGCATGATATGCAATCATTGAGTAACTGTACTGATACTATCCTCATTTTGAATACTGCATTTGTAAACAAGTCTGTTTACTATATGTGTGCTTGTCTGTAAATAAACAAAATGCAACTATTAACCAACAATGTATTCCAATGCATAATGAATTGTTCACATATTTTATTGAAAAAGTGCAAAAATAGCTTTTGAATAAACTGCTTCTTGAATAGATTTCTGTCTGGTAACTTTAACTGACCTTCCTCCTCTCTCATGACTGCATGTTCGGATTCATTGGCCTCACTGTCAGAACTGCACTCTGAGCACTCTGTTCAAGACATAGGCAATAGGTATTCAGTATGAAGTAAATGGAGCTGCTTCATCACTGCACTATAATGACAGTTTATTGATGGCATTAAACTGATGACAGACAAGCATGGGAGTTTTTCCTACCAACACGCAGATTTGTCATGGATGTACAGTTTACTCGAGAGTATTTGCACAAGATAGAAAACGAAGAAATTTGCAATGTACTAAAGCATACTGTAGTTGTATCAGAGCTGACTGAAAGAGAGATCTGTCGCCAATCATGATCAGCTGATTGGTTCAAAATTTACTGAATATAAAGGGGATGGTCAAAAAAATTTTCATTCAGGGCTCTTCCTACTTCCTGTGTGGGTTTCCTTACTGCAGCCCCTAAGGGAAAACTACGAGAAGGTACAACATTGCATAGGAACCCATATGCTTGTAATTCTAATGATTTTTTTTGGTTTCTTTATAATCAATGTGGTTGGTAAAACTGTTCCAAAAAAGGGGGGGGGTAATTAAATTTCTGACTTTAAACTGGCTCATTAAGCAATTTTTTTAGCCAAGGAAACTTGAAGTACCTTCATCCGGTTCCAACTCGACATCCCTCAGGCTCTTCCCAGCTAGACCTCCACGCTCCATCTTAACAAGTTTGACAGTTTTGCAACTTGAAGGGTGGATTCTGGGAGGCGGTAGTACTCACGATGTGTTCTTATATCATGGCCCAAAAAGCTTGCAAGTATATCCAGTTCATTTTCTTGCAGGTTCATTATTTGTGAAACTGTTGCAATGTGCTTTCTGAGTCTGGTTGCACGATGGTATTCAGGATTTTTGGCCCGGCAGTTTGATGCATGCTCTCGAAGTGTGTCTGTTCCCCGAAGATGCCCATTACCATCCGGGGTGCCAAACAAGTAGACATTCTTGTCATCTAGACCTGCATCCTTCCTTCTTTCCATTAAGGTGTCAAGGGATGCCTTAATCTTGGATGTGAAGAGTACTACAACTGTACGAGAACGTTTTCCAATGATCTCTACCCTCCAAAGCACCTTACATAGAGCCTTTTCCATTACAGACAGGGCACCATCAACAACGCATGTCTCCCCACTGGCACACTTACTGTAGTCTTCAACAGTCATTTTTGAAACCTCGCCAGGTCGTTTACGATTGAAACAATCACTTGTGAAAAGAGTATCTCTGCTAATTTCACCCATGCTTTCTTAACTCCAACTGTAGCCCTCTGCAGCTCTTCAAATTTCATCTTTGCTTCTTCTTGCAGGTATTTGGATAGTTAACTACTTCTTCCAGTGTTCTCAGAGCATGGTGGCTTACCTCTGCTTCCCAGTGCAAGCTGTATAACTCTGTTACAGCTTTGCATTTCTTCTCAAGAACTTCATTGCTGGTCATGAGAGCTTCTCCTCTTAGAATCTCTGCACAAGCCTTAAGACTGTGTCCTATTTTAAGGGCCAGACTTGGAGTGGTGTACAGATTGCTTTCCCCACTGAATCCTGCAGCTTGTTTTGTTGCCTGGATGACTTCCTTGAACTTCTTTGGGCGAATGAGGTCTTCCATTTGAGCATTAGGCTGTTCAGCTAGATGCCTATATTCCAAGACCATCCTTGCCACTTCATGTAACCGCTGCCTTATATAACCTTCTTGATCTTTGGTGTGCCCGTGCTTCAAAGTCAGCTTATCTCCAAACATTTTTATGAGTCTGTCAGACTTGATTAGCCTTGTTATGTCATCATTCTTCATGTTGGCCAAGATTTCGTTTGTTCTTTTACTCACTCCAGGTGTTGCCGGCAACATCATTCTGCTTGCCTTTGAAAGACCAAACCGTTTTTTCTTTCTGCAAGGTTCTTCAGAAACATCTGAATTTTCAGGTGTTTGGCTACACTTATGCTTCCATAAGTCACTTTTGGCAAAATAGCCAAAGCAACTGGGGCAAGGCAAATAATCATGAGCATTAGCCATGAATGAGGGTCTAGATATGACTATGATTGTGCCTCTTCCTTCCTGTAGCACTTTCCCATTGTGAAGGAAGTTGCCATAGATTCTCATCAAAGTCAGTTGTTTCGAACGTTGTACAGGATCTTTAGTTTCGAGCCACCTTTAGACCTGAGGTTCATCTTTGTGTTCTGGGGAGGCCAAATGACGTGGCAACTTCTTCTGTGGTCTCAAACAGAAAGGGCAATACTGAGGCTTGTCCCACCTTCGCTTACCATCTGTGTTTGAAGTACCAAAGACCTTGAGATCTGATTTTTCACTTGAGCTGGAGACCTCAGGATGTTGATTAACTGCAGAAGATTTGACATTCTTATTTGCCTCTTGCAAACTGGTTGTTTCAGTTTCAGACTCAGTTTCATTTTCACTGTCAGGCAAGTAATCAGTGTCATCTTTGGCACTACAATCTTCAGATTCACTTGTAACATGCATGTTCTGCTGAATAATTTGCTTTCTGGCAGTAAGATCACGATAGGCATATTCTCTTTTGCCTCTTGCCAGGCAGCGACCAGGAATGAGGTCAGCTCCATTTTCCTCATCTGTAGACTCTGAAACATATGAATCAGAAGGTTCATTTCTTGATCTTTATCAGAAATTCTGCTTCTTTGAAATGCCTCTACACTAGATCCTACAGCAACATCAGAAGATGACTCAACAAGTTGGCTGGATTTATGTGTTTTGCCTTTATGCAGCACATCCCAGCAGCTCACTGAGGGTGCCTGAATGCAGAGTTCTACAGCAGCATCAGACAACTCTACATGTTCAGCAGATTGGTTTTCATTGTCATCCTGATGGTTTGTTTCATGATCACCTGTAAGAACCTGTATGTCTGGGCAGGTAGAGGAGGGATATGAAAACTCAATATGGCTGGCAACTTGGTTGGGTATTTTGGTTTGAGCATTTTCCTTTAGGGGTCTTATGTTACCCAGCAGAGTAGCAGATGTGGCCTGAACTGGCTCCATACATGGGTCAGCTTTGTTGCATGTATATGTTTCAAAGAATTGCTGCTTGGAGCCGCCACAATCAACTGAAAGTGTCTGTATGCTCGGACAGTTACCAGATGGCTGAGCAAACTCAACAGCTTTTCTGCATTCAGGTGTTACCTTCTGACAGCTGGGACTTGATTGACTCACTGAATGTTCTTGTTTACATGTATTTACAGCAGCAACATGAGATGATTCAACAGCTTGTTTGAATTTATGCATTCTGTTGGCTTTTACCTTGGTGAATTGGTGACTTGCCAAGGATGCCTCTTGAGCAGCTTGCCTGGATTTACATGTTTGCACTTTTTCACCTTTCTGACGGAAACATGTTTTATTGGATGACCGTTTCTGTATATTCACAAGAAGACCTGCTGCAGCAAGTCATTGGTCACTGAGAGCTGGACTTGATTCAAGTCCAAGGCATCGAGGATGGTCAGGTGAAGTTGCAACCTTGCCACGATCTTCACATGCAATGTGAGAAGACTCTAGATGTCGGACACTTCCATTAGATGGACTTATGTCATCTTCTCTACTGGTACTTGAATTATGAGCTGAGGGTGCAGTTTCTGCAGCAGCCACATAAAATGACTTGCTATGTTCTAGTCTGGCAGATTGGCAGGTTTCATGTAATTTACCTGCTTTTTTCTTTTTTTGATGCAGACTAGTCTTACCTACAGCACTATGCGACCGACATGTAGCACGCCAGGTAGTTTGTCTGGATTTATGCCTTTTTTATCTTTAGTGGTGCCTATAGAACCAGACAAAGGCGTGTTCTGGTCCTGATGACGTGACTTTTTGGGTCGGTTGGCTTTAGATGTTTTCCGTGATTTGTCTCCCAGAATTGAATGATTAGCAGTTGTTATTTGCAGGCTCAAACCTGCACCAGAAGTGTAACAGGGAGGCAACTTGACATTCTGAGAAGCTTGGCTGCACTGCTTTGCTACATGCACATTGTCTTTTTGATGAAAACTAGATGAAGATTCTTGCATGGTAAAACCTGTGGAAGCAACGCAAGATGACTCAAAATATCTGGCTTCTTGACTGGATAGAAGTGCTTCATTGCCTTTGTGATAGGAATTTGAGTTACTAGCAGAGGCTAATGGAATTTCTACATTCACGGCAGAAGCCTGTGGTGAAACCATTCTAGCAGCTTGGCTGAATGGGCAGGCATCACCATCTTTTCCATCATCAGGCACAGTTACGTTCTTGTTCAGATCAGAGGCAGTAGCCAAAGATGACTCGGTATGAGTTGAAGCCTGAATGGATGCCTGCACTTTTATCGCTTCTCCTTCAGGGTTTGAAGAATGAGCCACAGGTATATGCTTGCCAATATCTGTAGTTGCAACCAAAGATAACTTATTACCTGTTGTTGCTTAGTTGGACAGACACACTTCAATGTTTGTTGCCGTGGGACTTAAAGGTTCAGTTAAATGTATGATGAGCAAGTCCATGTTTGTACCAGCAGCCTCAGATGAATCAACATGCTGGGCAGTTGGACAACGCATACAGGGTTCTCTGTTTGACTGAATACAGAATAAAAATAGAAAAACTTAGTAATTTAGATGCAGCATTACATTCATGCAATCATTTACCCCCTTTCCCCCAAAATAAAATCAGATTGAAGTAAACTTACGTCATCTGTTATTTGTAAAAAATGTTTCCATATAGTAATGTTCCGGCTCCCTTTAGAAAGGCCTGACTTTACAAGGGACTCTAAGGTATGACCGATGGCTGCAGCTTTGAAGGTAACGTACATCTATGCATACTGTTTTCATGATAAAAGTATAGATTAGTGGATTGCATATTTAAATTGTTTTCCAGCATTCTTAGGTAACAGTCTTTAGAGCCCTGTCTTAATTTTCAATTTTGTTCACAGTAAACAAGACAGCTTGGCAGAGTGGCATGTGCCCTTGCAATTATTTCATAGATTTACGGAAAGCCCTGGGGTAGAGATACACGTACTGAAAAGGGTTCCAAAATGTACTTCAAACACGTACCTTGCGCCGAGGGAAATCATCCTCCCCATAGTTGTACCTTAGTTCAACACCTGGCTTGATGTCATTCAGTGCAAATAAAAACAGATGAGGCATGCCATTAAAAACCAGCCTTTTCATTTTACACTTCGGGTTTTTGTGATCATCGTTGATGTACCTCCCAAGGCAACCATCATCACTTGATGCATCAATCCTGTTACAAAGACAAATTATCCAGTGTCAACGTTTTATCTAAAAAAAGAAATTGGAAGCCAAAAAACCTGAAATTCACTTTCAGTTTGTTTTTCCTTGTTTCCCTTGCCAACAAGATTTAAATTATAAAACAACCTGAACTAGTTTGCTTTTATGTAATGGTGACCAACTCAGCTGAGGAAGTCAACAGGAGCTACACATGTTTGACAGCAAGCCATAAAGTTACTTTATGAGTATCTGCAGTTACAAGACCCTGAAGAAGCTGGAATAGGGTCAGCTAAAAGGGAAGCCAACGGCCTTTAAATGTACCTATATAATACGGTGAATTTCTAGTCATCAAAATGTATGTTTAACAAAATGTTTTGGGAAGATATTCATACATACAGGCATGTAACAAACAAAAAAGGGAACTTAAATTTTTTCAAGACTTTGTACAATGTTTTTCAATTCTTAATGGGAGAAATTTGACAAGAAAAACGTGGAAATCAGCTGATCTGAGGAAAAGTTGCATGCCTGTACATAATATGCAATATAAATATACACACAAAGTATTGTAGGTTTGACAATGATTTCTACAAATAGTACATGCATTTTGAAGATTTGTTTCCATATTTTGGATAGCAAAGAAACTACCTGAACAAATGTCAAAACCTTTACAAAACAGGTAAGGGCAAATTAGTCCAAATGACCGAGTTTGCCCCTGAGGGTATTGAAGGGAATTGACCGCAAGTTTACTTACTTGTAGTTCACACCATTGTGCTTGAAAAAAAATTCATAGCAATTTTCCAAGCTGTCTTCAGTCTGATGTGAAGCTATCGAGATCATTCCCCTGTATTCAAGGAGGAAGCTGCCCTTCTTGAAGCTCCTTATGGTGAAAAGGCCCCAACCTGGAAAAAAAATTAAATAGATTTGTGTATGATCTCCAACATTATTTTCGAAGAAAACAAACTGATTTATATGCACATTATACAATAATGCCAATGCCATTTGCTCAAACTCCAACATGACGTTTGGTTGGAACACTTGTACATGTTTGTAATTAAGGATAACTACTGCACAAGTAAACTCAAATAATTTGCACAGGCACA